CACCAGCCCGGCCAGAGGGGACCGAGTGTGGCACCGAGGGGCTCCCAGAACGGGCACTGGTTCTGGGGCGGGCAGGGCAGCGGGGACCCAGCCCCTCATGGGCACCCCTTGCTCCTTTTCCCTTCCCGGGAGCCGCTGGCCAAGCCCCAGGCGCCGGCTGGGCCCAGCTCCCGGGGCTGGGGCTGCGTGTGAAAGGCAGCGCTTCCCCCGGGCCTCGGTCTGCTCACCCCGAGCTGGGCACGATCCACGGGCGGGACAGGAGGATCTGCTTCCCCCATTCCTTTGTATGGCCCAGCCAAAAAAATGCTGCAAAATTCACACTAGAGGCCAGTCCTGACATCCAACAGCAGGCGGCCAAGGAGGTGTTCATCTATTGCCTGAAACAAAACAGAGTTGGGATCCTGTTGTTCACTTCTGCCTGGAAAGTCCCATTCCTCATCTGAAATAGTCCCATAGTCTGAAAGCTTCTGTGTGTCTGGCCTAGGACACACAACCCACAAGAGAGCAAGGAGAGCTCAACCCTGTGCTTTCCTTGGGACTTTCCCCTGGAAAACTTCTTTGCTGTGTTGTTTTGAAACGTGTTACTGCAGGAAATGCACTCTACATTTCAAAGTATTTTTTAAGTTCTGTGTCTAATGGAAAACCCCAGGGTGAGTCTGGGTGCTAGCAGGAAGCAGAACTGGCTGCCAACACATCAACAGCAGGGATGGAGCTCCAGGGCTCCATCTGGGACCAGGGACAGGAGCCAAGGAGCTGTGGCAGGGGAGCAGAGTTATCACAGGCTCATCTCCAGGAAATTTTTAGAGGCATTTTCACTAACATACAAAAAAAAAAAAAGTTTTTTACACAGAGAAAATGGACTTCATTTTCTATCCCCACTAAAGGATATGTAAAGCTGAGTATAGTAAATATATAATGGTGTTTAAAAGGAAGCAGCATCCAAATTATTAAAATTGCACTTGGATTTTCTGTAAATACTAAATAATTTTCAACTGTAATCATCATTCAACACTCCAAAGATTGACACAATTATAATTAATACTTAGATGGGAAGTAATTATATGGTTCTTACTGCTATATAAATTATACCATTACTGAGTCATATGAACATGATGAGATATAAGGTAAGCTTGCATTTTTTGCTAAGTAGATGACAATAAATATGTATGTTGCTAAAATGAGACAATTCTTTTGCAGTTCAGCAAGATTTTCAATATTCTCAGTATACTATACCCAAAAGAACAAAAATTCACCATTTTGCACTGCAGAACTGCTGGCAGGCATTGCTAGAAGGTAAGGCTCTATTTCTCATTTGTGTTTTTAACAGGGAGAACAGCTCCTCTCCTTAAAGTTTTCATTTCAACAGTTTGGTGGCATGCAGAGCACCCTGCAATGAGAGAAACAACCCTCTTCCCCATCTCAGGGGGGGCAGAGATGCACAGAAGTGCCCCAGGGAGGTTCACTGGCAGGGCAGTCGGCAGAGAGGGAAGCACAGGGTGCTCTGTGCAGAATGGGATTGGCTTCCAGGGCTGGCTCTGCCTGCAGCTCCTGCAGGGCTGCTCCTGGCCTGGAACAGGCTCTGCCTGCAGCCCCTGAGCAGCTGCTCCTGCCCTGGAACAGGCTCTGCCTGCAGCCCCTGCACAGCTGCTCCTGGCCAGGGCTGGCTCTGCCTGCAGCTCCTGAACAGCTGCTCCTGCCCTGGAACAGGCTCTGCCTGCAGCTCCTGAACAGCTGCTCCTGTCCTGGAACAGGCTCTGCCTGCAGCCCCTGAGCAGCTGCTCCTGTCCAGGGCTGGCTCTGCCTGCAGCCCCTGCACAGCTGCTCCTGCCCTGGAACAGGCTCTGCCTGCAGCCCCTGCCCTGGAACAGGCTCTGCCTGCAGCCCCTGCACAGCTGCTCCTGTCCTGGAACAGGCTCTGCCTGCAGCTCCTGCCCTGGAACAGGCTCTGCCTGCAGCCCCTGCACGGCTGCTTCTGCCCTGTAACAGGGTCAGGCTCTGGGACCTGCTCCCCTCGGGCTGCTCCTGGGGAGGGCTGGGCAATCTAATGAACCCACAGTAGAAGGGAAAGGGGATTTTTCCCTGAAAGTGAGGCTCTTCCAAGTATCATGACCAAGCTGCAGGCTTTTCAGCAGACAGACACAGAGGGCTTTTCACACGTGGCAGACAAGTCCTGTCACTGACGCTCAGTTTCTCTGCATGGTGGGAAACTCTTTGGTTTGGCTTTTCACCTTTTTAACAGGGATTTCCTGCCCTTCCACCAACTCTGTATCTGTGATTTACAAAACAAGCTGACTTTAAGTAGACTTCTGATGAGAATGGGAGATTTACATATTACCTCATGCTAGCAATGCATTGGTAAAATTGTAGAAAACTAATCCAAGTCTTTCTTTCTTCCCTCAGTAACAGTGAAATGTCCCTGGCATTGTGCTCTGGGTATGGCAGCATTTCTGACACACATCTGCCTGCTCCCTCTGGTGGCATGGACCCTTCCATAAATTCCTGTCATCCTGTTATCACAGAATAATCTAAATAACCTCAGCTGTGCTGTCACATAGATATGAACATCACACAGCCAGAACATTCACATCCAACTGTAGCATTTTTCTGAGTTCCCACTGAATACCTGGGTTTTGTGATTCATTACAAACATATATAATTAAATAACAAACTGTGAATTGAAGAGTGTGCTTCCTTCTGTGGTATCTTACCACCACCATCACTTGCAGGAGTGCTTTAGCATTTTCTGCTCTTATTAATCTTTTCAACCGAGTGAAATCCAACAAACCTGGGGGGGGAGATTAAAACTCCAGACAGACAGCACTAGACAGAAAAAAATTCGCTGTAAAACACTAGAGAGAGACATTTGCAGCTCTGAAGCTGCTCCAAGAGCTTCCAATGCCACTACTGCTGGTGTTGAAATTCCTTGTAATGATGCAGTAAGGACATGCTTTCATTTCTTGAAAATATTGCAGATCTTGGATAAATCTTGGATAAAGCAAAGTTGACAGAATGATGTTACTCCTGAGAAATTCATCTCCTGCTATCAGATATTATGCTAAACCCTTGCACAATTCTAATACTAGTGCTAAAACCCAGGCTTAACACAGGCCTTTGCTTTATTACATGGGTGAAATCAGAAAGAAAACTGGACATCCTATTTCTTGCTACATGATAACAACCCTGTATTTCTGCAGTCCCCTCTTCTGCTTCAAGTTTTAGTATACTGATCTTATACAGAACTTTTAGTAAAGAACACACACGTGTTTGGGTTGGCTTCCACGCTTTTTATTTTACATCTCTGGGACCACCCACGACTGAGCAACTGCTGAGGAAGCAGCTCTGTGCTTCAGTCACTTACATTTGGATTTTACCTTTGTCAGAAGCCACGGGAACAAGCACTGGAGCAGTCAGGTCCCTCCTGCTCTGGGGGACAAGTCAGTGTCCAAGCTCAAGAGGGGCAGAGTCAAATTACTGAAGTCAGGAGACTGAAAATGGCAACATATCACTAAGGGAAAATATGAAAATGGCAAAATAGAAATAATAGGCCAATCATCCCAGAAATATTCAAACAGATCATTTTTTCAGCACAGCAAGGTGAGTAAAGATGTATTTCCTGAATGGAAACCACATCCAACTGATCTAAGTCGTCTTGCTACAGTCTGACAAATTATTCCCTTCCTTACCCTACAGAAATAACTTCTACATGAAATTATGGCCACAGACTTCTGTGAAATAAAATAACAATCATCATATGAGAGAATATTTATCCATTTGTGAAGTCACACAGGGGCATAACATCATGATGGCCACAGCTGGTTACTTGAAAATTCAGATTCCGAAAATCAAGGTTAGAAAAGCATCTGGATCACAAGTGTGTTTTCCAGCTGCTGGATCCAGCCTCCCTTTAACCCCAGTGCGGGGCAGTTCTCACCCCACAATGGGCACAGATCTCATTTAACCCCAGTGCAGGGCAGTTCTCACCCCAGGGCAGGCACAGATCTCATTTAACCCCAGTGCAGGGCAGTTCTCACCCCACAGCGGGCACAGATCTCATTTAACCCCAGTGGAGGGCAGTTCTCACCCCACAGCAGGCACAGATCTCATTTAACCCCGGGCCGAGGCAGTTCTCACCCCACAGCGGGCCCAGATCTCATTTAACCCCAGTGCAGGGCAGTTCTCACCCCACAGCGGGCACAGATCTCATTTAATCCCAGTGCAGGGCAGTTCTCACCCCACAATGGGCACAGATCTCATTTAACCCCAGTGGAGGGCAGTTCTCAGCCCAGGGCAGGCACAGATCTCATTTAACCCCAGTGCAGGGCAATTCTCACCCCAAAGCAGGCACAGATCTCATTTAACCCCAGGGCAGGACAGTTCTCACCCCACAGCGGGCACAGATCTCATTTAACCCCAGTGCGGGGCAGTTCTCACCCCAGGGCAGGCACAGATCTCATTTAACCCCAGTGCAGGGCAATTCTCACCCCAAAGCAGGCACAGATCTCATTTAACCCCAGTGCAGGGCAGTTCTCACCCCACAGCGGGCACAAACCTCTCGCGGCCAGACGTCACCAGCAGCGAGGGGTCTGAGGGCTAATCAACACACAAGTTATACCATTTGTGACCAATGACCGCTGATACCTCTGTTAAAATGTGCAAACAGTGTAAACTTTTGATGACCAGGGAGCTTTTGGTGGGTCACCAGGAGCTCCCTGCTTCGTGCAAACCAGGTTAGCGTACAGAAACACCGAGACTTGGCGCTGCGCACCAGGGAGCCACCGACATCCCGGGACACCTGAGACATCCCGGGACACCCGAGACATCCCGGGACATCCCCGCGCCCTCACCGCCCCTGTCGCAACAAGCCCCGCCCCGCGCCGCGCGCAGCCCGAGCCCTCACCGCCCTCCCGCCTTTCACTTTCGATTCGCGGGGCTCCGCCCCCCCGCCCTGACTGACAAGCGGAAGAACCAATGGTCGCCCGGCGCGCGGGCGGTGCCGGCCAATGGCGGCGCGGGGCGGGCCGCGGGGCGGGCCCGGCGCTATGGCGGAGCCGGCGCTGCTGAGGGAGTACGTGTCGCACCTGGCGGCCCGCGCGGCGCAGGGACAGCTCGCGGCCTGCGCCGATCCCGCGCTCAAGGCCCGGGCGCGGCGGCTGCTGGGCCCGGGGCGCCGCGGGGCCCTGGACGTGCGCGGCGTGGCCGAGCGCTGCCGGCGGGCGCGGGGCGGCCGCGCCCTGCGCGACCTGCTCAAGGCGCTGGAGCTGCTGGAGCTGCTCTGCGTCAACCTCCTGCTGTGCCCCTGGCGCCGGGAGATCCGCTCCCTCAAGGTACCGCACTGCCGCCCGCCCCCCGGGGCCACGAGGCCGCTTCCCTGGGCCGGGGCTTGGCAGAGGCACCGGGACGTGGGAGCGGGGTCAGGGGCACATCCAGCTCGGGGCAGGGAGCGGGGTCAGGGGCACATCCAGCTCGGGGCAGGGAGCGGGGTCAGGGCGCATCCAGCTCGGGGCAGAGAGCGGGGCCAGGGCACATCCAGCTCGGGGCAGGGAGCAGGGTATGGGGCACATCCAGCTCGGGGCAGGGAGCAGGGTATGGGGCATATCCAGCTCGGGGCAGGGTGCAGGGTATGGGGCACATCCAGCTCGGGGCAGGGAGCAGGGTATGGGGCATATCCAGCTCGGGGCAGGGTGCCCAGCACGGTGCACGGCTGCTCAGACGTGTTCATTGGCCTTCACTGGCCGTGTCCTCGCTGCGGCCCTGAGTGCTGAGCAGCTCCGGGGGTCGGGAGCGGAGCCCCTCGTTGTGGTGAGGCAGCAGGGAAGGTAGAAGCTACCCCACAAGGCTTTCCTTTGATCACGTTAGGCTGTGAGCACAATGTGCCTGTAAGCAGGGGTGTTTTGGCTCGGTGTCACAGGCCAGGTGAGCCAGTGCCTCTCCGGTCCCTGATCCCCGCTCAGGCTGCAGCTGGTGCGGCGGGCAGGGACAGCCCCTTGGAAAGAGGAAATGCTGCTGGATTTTGCAGCAGGGTGGTCACGGTTACCCCACTTCCCCAGCACACTGAGCACGTCTCATTGCCCAGAGGACACAGCCATCTTCACACATCCCATTTTTAAACAGACTCCCCAGACACCCAAATGCAAACTTATTGCCCTTGCTTTGGCAACAGGTGCTGGTGAGAAAAAGCAATTTCTTTAATTCTTCCTTCCTGCACTTAGGTCTCACCTGTGGATTTTCAAACAGCTGTAAATTCCTGTTCTTTTCATTCATCTTCCTAAAACAGGGCAAAGCATAAGATAGTCAGGTCTACATTTAGTGGGTCCAGCTTTTCTTAGCACAAGGATCCTAGGCTGCATTAAAATTAAACTTTGAAGACCACTGTGGGCAACCCAAAGTGTAAGACAGCCTGCTGCAGGCCTGAAATAATTCTACTGCAAGGCACAAGTTGGAGAACAACCAGTACCTTGTGCATGTAGAGATTTGATGAAAAGCTACTGAAATACATGGAATAGTATTTCCCATGTCCTGCCCCTCACCTGCCCTGATGTCCCTGCAGTGCCTGCAGCTGCCCCCCCTCCAGAAGGAACAGAAGGTGGGGAGTGCAGGGCACTGTTAACAGATTTATCTGAGGATTACACTGTGGCCATTCTGAGGGCCAGTTTTGTTCTCCTGAATCTCCTGCTTGTGACACCAATGCTCAGGGGTCAGCCTTGGTCTGGCTCAAGCTGAGCTGCCTGAAAACAAGGTACCCCACTCCTGGAAAGCCTGGCTTTGCATTCCCACCTGTGTTCCGTTCTGACTGGCCAGGAGTTGGTCATGCCCAGCTCAGAACAGTCTCTCCTGTCACAGGGTTTCACACAAAACCAAAAACCACTTCCATGTTACAGTCTAGGCCTCATGCCTGGGGTAGCTCTAAAACCAAGCAAACATTGAACAGTTTTTTAAGTTGTTGCACAGCAGCAGCATTTTTTTGTTGTTTTGGAGACAGCTTGTGCAAAGAGAGGTGTTTGAACAATACTTCTGTTAGAATAGTCTCTCTTCAGAAAGCTGCTTTTAAAAAATGGCAGTTTAATTCAAGGGTAGCAAAGTTCACAGCAGGAGTCTGAACCATGGAAAAGAAAATGTTACAGACTTGTCCCCAGTTCAGAAATGGGATTCACAGTGAGTGCATCCTGTCTGTTTCTTTAGGAAAAGACCTCAGTGATTCATTCCATGAATCTCTGTTTGTTTCAAAGCTTAGGTTCAGTAGAACACAAAAGGTTTATTTCTGAGTTTCTCTAGTTTGACTAAAATGATTTCCTTATTATTTCTTTATTTTTGAGTACTGGTACTCTTAGCCAAGACCCCAGCAGGTTTAAACTGGCACAACTTCACCGGAACTGATGAGCTGTAGCAAAGCCACAATGCTGGAGAGGCTGCCAGCACAGAGCTGTTAGAAAAGGCTCACTCACTGCAATTCAAAACTCTGACTGGTAGAATACAGCTTTTTGAAAGCTGTAAGCAAGTCTTGAAGTATTTTTGATCTTTAGGAAATCAGCTGTTTCACATTTCCCTGCACCCTTTGCCCCAGTGTTCACCAGCTTTTCCATGTTGTGTTCTGTTCCAGACCTTCACTGGGAATTTTGTCTACTACATCCAGCCAGTGCTCCCAGAGGACATTGTGAAAGCAGTGCTGGAGAAAATAGGTTATGTTGCAACTACAGCAACAGAGTTTTCACTTGTCAAAAAGAGAAACAATGAGGAAACGAAGCAGACTGCATTTGAGATATTCCTAGCAAGAATCGAGTGTGAGGCCATCCTGGAGATGACAAATGAAGAAGCACTTGGCAGTTTGGAGAAGAGCCTGCAGCAGGGAACACAAACGCGTCGGCATCGAGGAGAGGAGCATGAGGAGCATCCCCAGAGGGGAGACACTGAAAGTCTGGGAAATGAAGGGAGCAGTGAGACACCTTTGTGCCTTGCCCCCCAGCAGAAGGGTTCAGTTCCCTGTGCTGCATCCTTTGGAGCTGCTGGGAACGTGAGGATCATGGGGGACGTGGCTCAGTCAGCAGCTGCTGCATCCCCCAGCAGCCTCCAGCAGCACCAGAGGCAAAGCATTGACCCCGCACACCTGCCGGGCAAGGGCTCGGACAGCGAGGACTTCCTGACCCAATACAGTGACATTGTCATTGCACAGACACCCATCTTCAGTGAGAGCCTCTCTCCACAGGCTCTGGGAAAGGAGCCCCGAGCCAGGCTGGGTGAGGAGTGTGCCCTGGCAGGGCCTGCACGGGCGCTGGGGCCTGCGCCTCTGTCCCCGGGAGCCAGCGGGCCCCCAGCCTTTGCCATGTTTGCTGACAGCTCCTGTGACAGCAAAACCACCTTGGAGTTTGAAGCTCCAGGAGTCCCAGAAGGATCAATTGAAGCAGAAATTAATGATGCCATAAATTGCATAGACCCAGCCCCTGGTGATGAGCCCACTGAGCTGAAGTCTCTGCCCTACAAGGACTTTGCCTCTGCCCAAAACTGCAGCGTCCCCAGGGAAGAGGACATTTGTGAGCTGTCTTTAACCTTCACAGAACTACAGATCAAGGATGCTCAGGAAGAACTTATGTATCCAGTAGAGGAAAGTGGCCAGCCTGAGGCAGTGGCCTATGCAGGAACAAGTGACAGGCACGTTAGAGAATTCAATTGCTCCCAAATAAAACACGCGTACCTGACTGATGCTGACCTGCACAAGAGAGCAGTGTCACACCCTGAGCCACCTTCAGGTCTGTGCTGTACTGCTGGGCACACAGAGGATGCCACTGCTGGTTCTGACAGCAGGAGACTGTTCATGGATCCTGCTAAGGGACACCCAGCTTCTGAGTGCTTCAGGCATGTCAGAGAGCCCCCCAACCTCACCTACATCCCCCCCCAGAGCATCGATGTGCAGCCCTCACACGGGGGCAGGAGGGGCCTGGGGCAGCCTGCAGGGGGCTCTGCTGGAGGCAGGGAAGGGAAGCTGGAGCAGGGCAATTCCCAAGAGACTGACAGCCAGGAGCCTTATGTCATCATTGACAGAACCGAGCAGGCAGCACTGAGCCACCACTCCTGAGGCTGCAGTGCTTCACTGTCATCCCCTGGGGGACTGTCCTCTCACCTGGGGCCTTGATCCTGTTGTCAGGGAGATGATTCACTTTGTCACAACAGTTCTAAAAAACCCAAAGCACATCCCTGCCTTGGGACAGTAAATAGCAGGAGTTACACAAATTCCTAATGGTTCCTTTCGCAAGGAAACCTGAATGGTCACCTTTTTAAAGGGTAGGCAAACTAATATAAATTTAAATCAATTTAATTCATCAGTCAGATTCCTTCTGGCTGTTCCTAATGCCAGACAGGTTTCTTCAGCTGGGCATCCTACTTCTCATTTTCCCCTTCACAGACCTATTCCTGGAATACTCTTCTAGTACAAGGTAAATTCTGCTAAACTGGAAGAAGTTTAGAAATGCCTTACTGGACTGTACTCCTTAACTCCCTGCATTCCTTTGAAGCTGTGTCTGAGCTAATCTTCCTCCTGACTTCAGTTGAAACCAGTTTCAGAAAGTTTGATAACATTCCTTTAGCTTTAAAGAGGGAAACAGCTCTGTGAACACTTGCTTTTGTGGAGGCATTGACCTGTGTCATAGGTTTTATATCTAACCAATATATAACCATTTGTTACCAAAGTATTTTGTGGCCACCACCACAATTTCTAAGAGAAGCCTTGAGCACTGTAACTGTTCACTGCCACCAGCAGAGAGAGGTCCAGCTACAGCTGCCATTTCCCTTGCCCCTGCTCCTGACACTTAATTCTGCACAGAATTTTTCTGCTGGCCACTTCATCTCACTAAAATGAAGAGAAAAAAAATCTCATTCTTCACCATTTTAATGGCAGGAAAAAAAATCTGCTCAGGGAAGGATCCCAGTGAGCAGCAGAGGCAGGATCAGGGATATCCTGCAGGTGGGAGTGCTGTGTGGAAAGCTCAGGAGTGTTGGATCAGCTGGAAGCTGGGATCCCAGCACTGAGGGCCTTTGTCACACACAGCTCTGAACTCATTTAGGAAAGGACACTGCTGCTGTGCCTGGGCACAGTCTGCAGTGCTGTTTATACAAATACCTCCAAGGGGTGTCAGGGCCTGGTGCCCAGCAGCAGGACAGAGAGCAATGGCCATAAGCTAAAACACAAAAAAATGTACCCCAACATGAGGAAGAATTTGTTTTCCTGGAGGGGGCAAAGCCCTGGAGCTGATGCCCAGGGAGGCTGTGGAATCTCCGTCTCTGGGACATTCCAAACCTATCTGGACATGTTCCTGTGTCACCTGCTCTAGGTGACCCTGCCTGGGCAGGGCTTGGACTGGGTGACCTCCAGAGCTCCCTTCCAACCCTAAAATTTCTGGGATTCTATGAGACACTTGTTACCTAGAAAGACTCTGCAATACTGCTTCAAGTGGCTTTTTCAGTAGCACTGAATGTCTGCTGGTTTGGGCTGGGGTAGAGTTCATTTTCTTCACAGTGGCTAATATGGAGCTCAGTTCTAAATGCTAAAAATGCCTTTCATGTACAGTTAAAATATTAGCTGAAACTAATTGTGTATTAATTGTTTGTAATTGACTTTCTTCCCAGAAAAAAATCAGAGGAGCACACATGGATTAGACTAGAAAAACCTCAGGAACTAAAACATAAAGATTTGCTTTTTGAAGAACTAATGGTTGAAATTCTGTCATCCCCTGATTCCGGCAGTGTAGGAGAAACAGAATTTGCTCAAGGTAACAGCAGGGGACAGGACTGCCTTCAGCTCTGGGTGTGGTGTGAGAAATGGGTGTTAGGAACAAACAGGGTTCACAGGGCTGTGCCCTGACAAGTACCAGTGGCATCCTTTGGGTGTAAGATTCTGTACTAAACCACAAAGTGACATTTTCTGTGCTGTGCAAAATGTATGTCCATAGTGAAATTAGAATTAAGAACAAACTGCAGATGAGTGAGCTTCAAACATAGAACCATTTCCAAAGAAATTGTTCTTTTGGACTCTTAGAGAAGTAAAAGTTTTGAAAGTTTAACAGAAGTTATCAAGAACAGCTGGAATCCCCCTACAAAGAAGCTGCCAGAAGTAAGATAATTATTTAGCATACAAAATCTTACTTTTAAGCTGGAATGTTAAAGGTTTACAACAGAGCAGTAGAATGGCATTCCTTGGATCACTAGCTTTAGTACCAGCTTAGTACTTCACTAGGAAATGCTCTCTCTGTGCACTTACTGTTACCAAGTTGCAGTGATTTAGAAAAGAAAGAGCTGATCAGATGGGAATCACAGGGCAGGAGCTGCAGCTCCTGACTGGGTGTGGTTCTTCCAGTGCAATGGGTTTTAGGCAAACCACAACCCTCCAAAAGCAGCACCACCAGATATTGTTGAAAAGCCACATAACTGAATGTTCCTATCCTGCACAAAGTGCCTGACAAATGTCTGTACAAAGTGATCAAAGTGCTGTTGAAGCCTTGCTTGTTCCAGCTAAACCAACCAAAACCAGCAGGGGAAAAATAGATTCTGTACTAGTGGGATCATTCCCCTAAAACTGCCCAGAAAATCAATGTGAGAGCAGTCTGAGTGCTGCAGGGAAAGGATTCCCTTGAGGGCAGCAGCCAGAGGGTAAAGCACAAGTGAAGGGCAACTCAGCACTTCCTTTGACAGGTCCAAGAATGAAACCCCCACTGGTTTTCTGTACTCTCCCAAGGACTTACAGTTCATAATAAACTGCTCGTGACATAAACCCAAAAAAACCACCTGTGTTTTTCTTTATAAAAAGAAGTAAAAATCAAAGAGTGCAAACCAGTTAAGAAATCAATTAATTCTAGGATGTTTTTAGAAACATTTAAATAACAAACAGTCCCATGCACCCTGTATTTTCACTATACCCCAGCTCAGCCAGAGCAGGGCTGGGGTTCTCATGAACACAAATAGAATAAGCTCTCTATAAAAAGCTAGCTGAAAAACCCTCAGGGCCATTCTGCAATCACTTACAAAAACTCTGGGTTTTAAAATTTTTTTTGCACTGAATTCAGTGGGATTACCAGTGCACAGTTCTCTTCAGAACTAAGCTATATTGTGATGTCCTGTAGAGCAGAAAGAACTTCCTGAATTCAATGAAGTTGCATTAATGTGGGCAGGATTAGAGCAAAATTTCCATTTCAAACTGGCAAGATCTGCTTAAGAAAGCTGCTTTAACTAGATGCACTTCATTTGCTGCCTTCAATAATAAAATAATGAACATCCCCCCTCTGGTATGAAGTGTGTAAAGCCTGGGCAGGAAGGAGCCAATGCCTTGCTGTGCCTCAGGCACCTGATGGCCACTCTGGCTGTGCCTGGAAAGGGGAACAAAGGAGCAGAGGGTAGGGCAGCACCTTCCTGGAGCCAGATTGCTGCTGCATGGTGCCCACACAGCACAGGAGCACGGGTGGGCAAAGCCAGAGGGGCACTGAGAGCACCCAGGCCTCAGAATGCCCTGACTGCTGCCAGGGAGGCTGCACCCGAGGGCTCTGCATGGCCCTCAGAGCTAGAGCTGGCAGGAGGAGTCATTGCCCTGGGAGGGATACAGCTGTTCCCATGCTAAATGGAATGCCTGCAAGCCTCTGAACCTTTTGTTTGGTGGGTACCACCCCAAGGAATCAGGAATGAACACTGATCTGACCCTGGACATCAAAATTCCAACAATCCAGCCTCGTTGCTGTGAGATCTCTCCACTACCTGCTCTTACCCTTGCCTTCCATACTTTGTGCTATTTTTGTACCTGAATAGAAAACCCAAAGAGCTGCACCCCTCCTCTGTACTGCTATTCAGTTGTTAGAAAATCACAGAATTACTGAGGCTGGAAGCTCGGAGGTCTTTGGGTCCAGCCTGTTCCAGCCACTGTGACCCAGCCTGGAGCCCAGGCTTGCCCTGGAGCCGCAGGGGCAGCGTGGCTGCAGTGCAGGGACCCCCAGCCAGCCTGGCCAGGGCCTCAGCAGAGCCTTCCCATTCCTGCCCAAGGGCTGTCACCCCAATGAGCTGGGGGTCAGCTCAGTGCCCTCCTCCAGACCATCAGGAAAGGTTAAACAGGGCTGTTCCCAGCATGGATCCCAGGGGATCCCATTCCCACCAGCCGGGGCCCAGCTGGCAGCCAGGTGCCATCCCAGCCAAGCTGGGGCTGCAGCCTCTCCAGGAGATGCCACGGGAGAGGGGCTCAAAGGCTCTGCTGAGTGCCAGGGAGACACATCCACAGCCTCTCCCTCAGCCACCAGGAAGGGCACCTGGCTGGGAAAATGAGGTGGGGCAGGCAGAACCTGCCCCTCCTAAACCCAGATTGGCAGGGGCTGATCCTGGGGTGATCCCGGGGTTGGTGATCCTGGGGTGATCCCAGGGTGATCCTGGGGTGATCCCATGGTTGGTGATCCTGGGGTGATCCCGTGGTTGGTGATCCCAGGGTGAGCCTGCAGTGATCCCAGGGTTGGTGATCCCAGGGTGAGCCTGGGGTTGGTGATCCCAGGGTTGGTGATCCTGGGGTGATCCCGTGGTTGGTGATCCCAGGGTGAGCCTGCAGTGATTCCAGGGTTGGTGAGCCCAGGGTGAGCCTGTCCATGCCATGTGCTCACACTCAGGCTGATCTGCTGGGCCCCAGGGCCAGGCTGACAGCTCTGTCATAAACAAACCTCCCTCATACACACCCTGGCCCTTTGGTGTTGTTTCCGGCCAATTCATCCCAAGGGGGCATTAAGAGAAACCTCAGGTGCCCTCCCTCAGAGGAACATTGTAATAAACTGTTTATTTCAATTACAACAACAGAGTTGTCTTTGGGGGGGGGAAAAGTAAAGTTACTTCTAGGAAGCAGCAGTGAAATGGGAAATCAGGAAAACAGCCATATTTTAGCTGAACAGAACTGACACAGTAAAGCTGATGGAAAACCTAAAAAGACAAAGGGAATTGATTCACATTCTGTTCCTGATTGGTACCTGATCATTTCAGAGATATAAGTCCACAGCATTCTACAAAGCATAGTGCAAAAACAACACCTATTATACTTAAATATTAAAAATACCAACTCAGACTTCAGGAGCTGATTTCTGATACAGCAGTCACAGGCTTCTATAAACAGTGCTGTCTGTTAGCTGGGTTCAGTATTTGGTCCCGGTTTTCTTCATACTTCTCTACCATTTTCTGCATGTCATGGTCAGCTCCAATAACCTTGGAGAGAAGAGGATGAACACTGGCAATAGCTGACACCATCAAACTTGGTTTCTTTTCAGCAGAACAGAACAGGACTACCAGTGCAGCCAAACTGGGATACTCCTATGGATTTTCCCAAGCTGCCTTCTGCTGGGAACTTGGCATTCCCTGAAAAGTTCCATGGCTAATCCTGAAAGCAATCCCAGTGAACAGCCCCTCAAATTCCACTGCAGACATGGCAGACCCCCCTTCTGTGCTACACACCAACAGCTATCACATTTGTCTGAGGCTGTCCTTCTCCAAAGGCTATCAGAAAAGCAGATTTATTTACTTTTACCACTAAACAATGCTCCTATTATTTGGAAAGCACAATCCCCCGCATGCCTAATTGGTTATAATAAAAATAATACTCACAAGTACTGGGCAGGAAACTTCAAACAGTGCACGTTTAATGAGCCACTCTTCATAGAGCTCATGAATAGCTTCTAAATATTCCTAGAAAAGAGGCACTGGAATAATACAAATGCCCAGGGATGACACACACATTGCAATCTCTATGCATTGGGAAGTAGTTAAGAGACACATATGAAAGCCTGCAACACATATCTTCCACTAACAAAAAATAAAAAGCATCAGAAGGTTTTTGAGAACAATTAATTCCCAGTACAAAGTTTAACTCCAGGAAGACCTCAAAGACACAGCTTACAGGAGCACAGGGCTCTCAGCTCCTTTTAAGATCAAGCAGCCATGATTCTCTCCCACAGGTAAAACGTGGTTCAAGATTTTACAGAAAAAATATACAACAAAGTAAGGACAAAAAGGGCAAGGCTGCAAAGAATATGTATGGGAGGCACTTTCTGTGTCAGTACATTTCCCTAGAATTCCCAGTTCACTTTCTGATAACTCAATTTCCTCTAAAAGCTCTCCTGCCTGTCATGAACTGTTTTTTTTTCTTCATGGAGACCACTTCACATTGCTCATTCATAACTGCTCCCCTCTTCTTCAGCAGAGCTGCAAAATAACACAAGGGCTCTTCAAATCCACTACAGGAGGATTTATTCTCAAAATTTCACATGGCCCAAGATTTAGCTCTTTGCACAGATCTTCAACTGATGATTGCTTCTCCTGAGCCACCCAGCCCGGGCTGCAGGGGAAGCTGCAGGGGAAGCTGCAGGGGAAGCTGCAGGGGAAGCTGCAGGGGAAGCTGCAGGGGAAGCTGCAGGGGAAGCTGCAGGGGAAGCTGCAGAGGAAGCTGCAGGGGAAGCTGCAGGGGAAGCTGCAGGGGAAGCTGCAGGGGAAGCTGCAGGGGAAGCTGCAGGGGAAGCTGCATTCATGTCTGGTCAGGCTCCTTTAGAGGCCTCATGGCACAAGGGGCCATGCTGTGAACTGGCACAGAGATCACTGCTCCACCAGCACAGCTCATTTTAAAGCAGATTCCCGAGCTCACAGTTTTCAAGGAGCTGCTTCCTTTCAGCCACTGCAGAGACACTTTTCATGCACAAACATCCTGGAGGGAGCAGACAGCAAAGTGCCCACAGAAACCTCAGCACCTGCAAGGCCAGGCAGCCATGCTACACCTGGGTGCTTTTGTGCCATTTCATGGTACCAAGGCAATTGACTTTTACATCCTAGAGAAGATTAGCAGTTGATTAATGCTGCACCTGAAGTCAGCTACAGCAGAACACCTGGGAGAGTCAGCATGCATGACAGATCATTTATAAAAAATAAATCTAAATTCAGTACTCGGGGTTTAATTTGCAGTGGAAACAGCTGCACCACATTCTGGATACAATTTTAGTACTTGGATTGGAATTGTTCTGTTTTCAAAGCTCCTTGTAAACACATGTATCAGAGGAACTCCTTACCAGAGGAATGACTTTTTCCTCTTCCCTGCATCGTGTCTTTAGCCTCTCATAACAAACTTCAGGAGATGTCTGCAAATAAACTGCAGGAAAAAAAATGTTAATAGTTATGTTCAAGGATCAGCTTTAAAAGCAAATAAGAAACTCACTTGACAGACTATAGAAGGGAAGGATCCTGGCTGGGGTACCACCACTGGACCTCCCCTTTGGCATTACCCAACCCATGAACCACCCACAAACCCGAGCTGTCTGATGGTGGCCACTTTTATACTGAATAATGTGATTATTTATGACCCAAGAAACAAGAATTATTTTCTTCTCCCAGAAAGGAAACCCCCCCACAAACACAGCCCTCCAGACCCATCAAGATGTTACCTATCAAATCAACTGAAACATCAGTGTTGTTCTGGATCCAGTCATACCATTCACTTAGGACAGCATAATCCACCTCTGGCATTTTCCCACTGAACAAACACAAGAGGCATCTGAGCAGCATGCAGAGAGAACTCCAAACTCTCATTTTGCTCACCTGACCACAATCCCTCCCCACTGACTCCAACATTTGTGAAAAGAAGCCCATGCAAATTGAAGGCCACATAAACCATTGTTTATAAATCAGAAAGACCAAATCTTTCCCTTTTTTTCAAGTACTCAATGGTGTTTATTGCTCAGGTTCTCTGTATCAAATCTGTCCCAGGGCATGTCACCAGAAGGGCTGGATTTACTGAGCAGCACCAACAATTCCTTACAGAAGCCACAGTAAAAGGCAGCAAAAATATAATGTCCATGTGTCAATAAATTTACTCCCACTGTAAGAAATATTTGTGGAAAGAGTAGTGAAATACTCAATATGCTTAACTCTGAACTCAGAGCACAGAATGTTGGAGACAAATGTCCCAAAGTTATCTCAGCAACAACAATAAAGTATCAGACACTCAAGCAAAAGCGAGTTGCTGAGGACATGTTAAGAATCACATACTGTGTTTTTATTAGTGTATCAATTTTCACTTATTACCAGATTCCTGAGTGTCAAATATTACTAATTTTACAGTATCCTCTCTGCAAAACTGGTGACAATAACACATACTCCATACTCTTTCCTAAACACTTCTGCAATAGAAAAAACTTTAAGAAGATGGAGTTGGGAGGCTCCTGTGCTCTCCAGCTGAATGATTAAGACCAGTTAGGCCATTTTAAAAAGGACTGAAGAAAAAAATATTCCACAGATTTCTAAACCAGTCTCCTGGCAACTTGCTTTGATCACTTTATTTCCATATTTATTTCCCTAAGTATGGAAAAAAAGCAAAATCCCTGTTTGTGGCAGGTCCCCTCTTGATCTGCCATCCAGAAATGGGGTAACACTGCTCACTGCTGCTCTTCTTGATAATCACAGCAGCTCTGGGTAGCAGGAATCTACATCAGCCAAAGTCTTATTGTGCTGCTTTTCTCCAGGATAGATGGGGGAAATAGGAAGGCTGAAAGGAACTGGAAATAAGAAAAAGCTCCACTGTTCTTACCCTAAAGGAGAAATACATCCAAGTCAATTCTGCACTGACCTGCCCTACAGACAGGGGTAACCCTGGGAGGACTCTGGCTCAAGATCCATAAAGATACAGGTATATAAAAGGCACAAAATGGTGTTTACATTTCCAAAGTTTGCTGGCATTTGGCTCCTACCAAGTCAGGTTTTTACTGCCTAAATCCAGCATGAACAGAGTGAGTTTCTGTCCTGAGCAGTGATGGACTCAGAGGGACAGTGAACTGCAGTGCTCACCTACAGCACACCCTGCACACTCATGTGCACACACTTAACACTCGCCTCACACAGCCAGCCTGACTCCATTTTTAATGTGTTTTTAATTTCATACATTCCTCAATTATTCCTTCTTTTATTTATAATCCTTTTACACATTATTTTCTTTTGGCTTGCTGTTGGTTCTATCAGCTGCCTTCTAGCTTGTTGTAACAAAACAAAGCAAACGCCTTTTTTCAACATTTAAAAAGTGCAAAACATCTTAGATGCCCTTAAAATTGTTATTATTAACTCACAGTATTGCCATAAACAGATTTGGCCTCAGAGCAACTAAGTCTTTAGGAATAAAAGCACTTTGTCTACAATGAAAAAAGAAGCCAGTAACTAAAAATGAGGGTATTGCAGGCTGCTTGCACTGTGTGTGGACTGGGTGAATAAGAACTTCCAGAGGCTTTCCCATGGCAGAGAGGTGCTCGTGCAGCATGGGTGACACCTTGTGGCACAAACTGGGGTTTGTTACTGTTCCAGTCCCTCAAGGCCACTGAAAAACCCACTAAAACCCATCTGTCACATACACTCCCCGACAGAAATTCAGCACTCCAAACAAAGGAACAAACCCTGATTCCTGCCTATTTGGGACAGGTGAGTTACACCCAGGGCAGTTAGGTGTAACTCTTACAATTGTTCTTTCTTTACTCACAGCCTACCAAGGCTTGCAGTCTATTTTGATCCTGTCAATCCTGATTCTGAGCAAGAGCACAGGAATTGAGACCCCTGGATGCCAGGCTGGCTAACACTGCCCAGTTCTCTACCTCCCACAGTCTTATTCTTTCTATCTTTGTGGGTTTTTATCTGTCCAGCATGTGTTTGATTCAAGCAAGATTTGGGTATTCAGCTGGAGAGCCAGTAACTTCAATAGATGGGGTCTAAATAATACTGAGTGCTCAATACTCAGGAGCACTGCTGAAAAAGGTTTTGCAGAGTGCTACAGGAAGTGGGCAGCACAGCCCACACCAAACACACTCCAACACAGAACTGGCAGATTTCACAGGCCCCTAAAATGCACATTACCAAAGGAATTATCATTTGATTAGATCTATATTTAAAATAATGAATCCAATAAAGTAAAGCAGAAAGCCACATGCCATACCTTCGATAGAGGTTTTCCACAAAAATGTGTTTTGCGCTGTGAATCGACCGCTCCATCATCCTTATGGGGGAAATCTGCAACACAGAACCCGACTCTGCACATTTTCATGCTTCTTTCTTTTCACACTCATATGGCACATATGAAATACAATTTTCAGATCTTGTGAGAAGCAAACTTACCAGGAGGGTGGGAAGCACAAAGCAAACAAGGCTCCTGATCTTACTCTGATTTGTTATTCAGACACCAGTTCAAGGCCAAGTGCTCAGCATTCAGCTGAGCAGGGGAAGGTAACTCAGGGTACAAAAAAGCAGCAATGCATTTGGGATCTGCAGGACAGTGGGAACTACTGCTCCATGCCATGCATTGCTGGTCACAGCACACAGCTGACATCAGACACATTCAAGAAAGGAAACAGGACTTTTAAAAGAAGTGACTGCAGCTGACAGAGCCCTGGCCTCAGCCAGCCCTGCACGTGTTCCACCAGCACTTCATGCTGGAGCAGGGACATTCTCTGACACTCCTGGGCCTGGCAGAGCTACTTCTCACCCAGGTTTCTGCACATTAACGAAGCAAAAATGGCTCCAGCCAGGCTCAAATGACAAAAAAGCTAAGAGGGAAATCCTCAGGAATTCTTGAATGAACAACTCCAACAGAACAGGATTTCTATTGTCTTGGAAAAACATCTCTTCCAAAAACCTAATGATTATATGTGCCACTTTCATATTTGGAACTGCCAACAGTTTGCCCTGACACAAACTCAGAAAACAGAACATAAGAACAATCAGTGAAATAGAAGCATGGCATCTAAGACCAGGTCTTGTAATCAGGGAATGGAAGACAGCATGGAATGTAACAAAAGGTATTTGAAGGAAAAAAGAATGAAGAAATCTTGATAAAAAGGTAGGATGTGAAATTTAATATTAAAAAGAAGAAAAAAATTACAAGAAACAAAGGATGTCAACCACCTGAAAGAGGAACAGAAAATGGTAGTGGAAGTATTTTGCATAAACAGAAGAAGCAATGGCTAAATTTGTACTAGACAGCAGGAAGCAGTACTATGAATTCTAACCAGGGATTACTTGGTGTTTGCCAAAGATATCAAATAATGAAATTCCAGACAAGTCACTGACATGAAATGAGGAAGAGATTTGTGCAAGCCTAGCCCTGGAGGGTGTGCCCAAAGAGCAGCATCACTTTGGGGAAGTTGTGAGCAGGCAGGAGGCAGAGGTTTTACCCCCAGAGCAATGCTGAGTATATCAATGTGCACCACAGAAATTCCTGCTCACTGCAGGAACAAAGAATGAATGCACACAGGACCCTAATTATTGAATACAATGTTAAAGGGATTTAGCACTCATAACCACATCTAATTACTCGTAAAATTAAAAGAAGTTTCCTTACCATGGGCCTGGTGTGCTGCTCCAGCATGGTCAGCTGGACATAGGTCTGCAGAGTTATCCCCCACCTTGATGCATCCTGGTACATTAAGCCCTGGGCTCAGAGATAGAAGCAGGACAGATGGACATTTGTAAGGACAAACAGCACAACAGAAGTTGGGTATTTTGGAAACTTTTCCCTACAACAGCGTGGCTCTAAGAAGTGTGCTACAACAGCTGACATCAGGTTTGAGCAAGATGATCATTTGGTCTCCACAATGGAGATGCAGAATTACAGCCCTGTCCCTGCAGACACCGAGTGGGAGGCTGGCTGAACTCAGCAGGAATTAGTTACTCTGCACATGGAACAGTCAGAGCCAAGTAATGAAAAAAACCCACCTACTACACTATTTTTGTGCCCTGACAGACCCTCAGTGCATCCAGAAATCCTACAGGGTTCTAAGTATGGTCTGGGCCTCAGAACAGGTGTCCTTTAACACAGGCTATTCTTCCCAAAGGACCCTCACAGCAGCTCTCAGGTAGCTGTTCCACTTTCTGATTGCTGCAATTCCACACTCACATAGAACTTAAAAGCAACCGTCTATCCTGCAGAGCAGAGAAAGGATCTCACTCAAAATAAAACATCATTCAGTGTCTTTTGGCTGAGGTGACAAGTTTTAAGCCAGCAGCAAAGCTTCAGCCCACAGGTCTGACCTTCTGCTTTGCTCCCTGCCAAGATCAGACTTTACCATCGCTCCAAGGCTGCTGTGGTGTCATGCACCTCATGCCCCATCCCTTTACTAACAATCAGAAAGGCATCAGCAACTCCTAGGAGGGACAATTTACTGTTGCAGAGGGCCTGTGCTAACACTGATGGCATTTAACACATGTCAGGGCAAGTATGGCTTGGGGTGTGTCCACACTGCAGAGCACAGAGCCTGCCTCAGGCACAGTGGGGTTTCTGCAGAGGGGCTGAGCCCCAAGCCCAGGGCTGGCAGCAGGGACCCCTTCCAGCATCCCAGCAAGGCCAGTGTGCAGCTGCAGCTGGGACCCAGGGACATCCTGGGGGAGCAGCTCCAAGAATCCTCAGCCACTCAAAGGACAATGGAAGCCCTCAACTCCTCGCTGGGCTGAATTTTCCTCACCTGCAGCAGCCTCAGGATCACAGATTCATGCAGGGTTAAAGAGTTGGAATGGACCTTAAAGATCATCCAGTGCCACCCCTGCCATGGCAGGGACACCTCCCACTGTCCCAGGCTGCTCCCAGCCCCAGTGTCCAACCTGGCCTTGGGCACTGCCAGGGATCCAGGGGCAGCCCCAGCTGCTCTGGGCACCCTGTGCCAGGGCCTGCCCACCCTGCCAGGGAACAATTCCTCATTGCCAAGATCCCACCCAGCCCTGCCCTCTGGCACTGGGAGCCATTCCCTGGCTCCTGTCACTGCAGTTCCTGAGGAATTGTCCCTCTCTGGGTTCCCCTCAGAGCCTGGAAGGAGCTGTGAGCTCTCCACACAACCTTCTCCTGCCCAGGCTGAGCAGCCCCAGCTCTCCCAGCCTGGCTCCACAGGGGAGCTGCTCCAGTCCCCTCAGCACCTCCATGGCCTCCTCTGGACTCTCTCCAACAGTTCCATGTCCTTCTTATGCTGGGGGCTCCAGAACTGTTCACAGATCTCCAGTCAAACATTACCTGACAGATCCACCCCTCACCTCACCTCCTTCACTTCTTTGAAACAGGCTCAACAAAACAAGCACATTTAGAAACAACTGCCACACTCAGGGCTTACCTTCCTGGGAATTGCTTTAACTCACCCCACTGGACACCCAGTCCTTGCCAAAACCACATTTTATATGCAGAGTTTCTATTACATGCATGTCTTAACCACAGCAGAAGCTCTTTTGCTTTGTGGAGCTTTAGTTTTGCTGTGTGAGATTTGGATTACACCTTTTGCAGAAGTTTTGCTGGCTGATAAAAAGCCTTCACACATGTCTTGCTAAAAGAACAGTCACTGTAACTGCAGGAATAATTTCTCCACTTACCAGGATATTATGACCTCGAACATTCCTCCACTTGGTCAAGGGTTCCTTCAAAACCTGGTTTAAAAGAATGACTCCATGTTAAATACATCTTAGATTCAAAATACTTAATGTGACCCTACAAGTGTACAACTATTCTTCAGGAATACTTGTGCAGTAAATCAGAGCATTCAGGTCTTGTTTGGAAAGCTCATGGCACTTAAAAAACCAGCACTTTTGTAACACAAAAGGTAATAATGAACACTGCTAAAAATAGAGACATGTCAATATCCAATGTCTTCTTAGCATTTTTAAATACCTCATAAGCCTGGAGAGAATTTTTTTGAGTCAAAATCAGCGCCATGTAAGGGAAAGAACAGCTTAGCAGAGTACTTAGCATTTAAATGACAAGTCCATCCCCTCACAAATTAACTTCTCAGAAAGTAACACTTGTCAGCAAAGGAAGAGGATCAGACTGCTACCACATTCATTTTCATTTTATTTTTGTGTTCTAAGAAACAGAATGTATTCAAATCTTTTACAAAATTAATCAGAAAAGCTTCTACCCAGAATAGGTAAAATCACAAGAGACCTGCCTGGTTCAAGCAGGGTCTAAATCTACAATAATACTGTAGAGTCAGGCCTAAGAGAATCTCATCAGCCTAGGAACTTAAGTAGCTACTTTAAAATGCTACACTGTATACAAATAAAGTCTGTTATCCTTTGGATTAATAGTTAATTACTTCATAAGAATAATTCCTGTTAAATCACCAAATAACATCTGGCAACCCAGCATTTCTATGAGGACTCCTAAAACTTATTGCCAAATGTGTTGCCAGCTCTGTTGGGGAAAGCATTAATATCTGTTGTACAAGAACAATTGTTCACTAAGGTTTGACCTTGATTTTGTTTAAAATGCAACAAGCCTGCCCTTCCCCTAACCTGCTTCTAAGCAACATGAAATCAAATACCAGATCAGTCTAAGATATCTCCTGAAACAGTTCTAACAGATTTTCCTTTTATTAAAAAAGCCATCTATTCACTGGGATCTCTGTTACATGGCATAGGTATTTTTACATAATAATTCTTTACTTTGCTTTTACCAGACCCATCCAAGATTTCAGTGACATGAAAGGGCAAACCAGCAAGTCCAAACATGCCCATGCTCTGTGGGTTGCTGTTATTTAATGAAGGCACAAACACTGATTCACAGGTTTTTCTGGTATTTTGGCATCCAGTACATACCACATGTGATCTACATTTCTCTGCTGCAATTTGACTGTAAAAAGTTGGGGTGGTGCCCCAGCAAGCCCCTGGCTCAGCCCCTGCTGCTCCCTCCTTCGCACCCAAGCACACATTGGATCTAAGACAAGCAGCTGCTCAGTGAGGAAATAAGGACAAAGAAAGGTGCATCCAGTACCTCAATGCTGGTAGTCTGTGCAAAATAATCCAGGCATGTTGTTTTTCCACTGGCAATGTTGCCCTCGATGCAGATCTGGTGAAAAGCAGAGTCACTTTGAGACCCACACTGTGGCAGAGCAGTGACAGTGTGTCAGGAATGCCCCCTGCCCATTCCAACATGCCAGCTCCCCACGCTGGGAACAGATTATTTCATGGGATCCCTTTGGATGCTGTGACTCCCCCAGAACATCACTTTTTCCCTCCCTGCTACCCCCACAGCCAGCCCTGTCCTGCTTCCAGCTTTCTTCCCCTTCCCAGGACCCCAGGGATTCCAGAGGGTCACCTGCTGCTCCCCACTCTGCCACCTCAGAGACCTGACTCCCAAATAAGTGCCAGCTGGAATAATAACCTCAGCATCCATTACATAGATAGCTTAAACCTTAAGAGGGATCACGTTTTTATTTTCAGAAACCTAAACAACTCAAATAAACTCAGAGAATTTTTTTTCAACTGTCTTAAAATAATATATAGCCATGGGGGGTTATATAAGGCAATGGCAAGGCTGCACATGCAAGAGTGAACCCACCCTGCCACCTGTCCTGACACAAGCCCTCACAGATTTTTGCACAGATCTCCCACAATTTTACTACAATTTTCAGAACTAGACCAGCATAGCCTTGCACAGAGTATGAGCCAATGACAGACACACCACACAGTGACACAGCTATGGCTACAGCTGCCATTACACACACACTCAAATTAGAATGAATTACAGTGAAAGAGGCTGCACTTTTTACTTTGTTTTCTAACAAAATGCAAATACTTACAATTCTCTTTCTAGCATCTTTTTTTATCAGATGCTTATCTAGAATGGAAATAAACAACAGTTAAATCAAAGCAATTTTCATAACTTAGTTAGATTGAGTCTCTTAATGTGAGACCCTCCAGGCCAGTTTTCGGTAATTATTGGGTCATGTAACAGATGCATTGTGGCACCGACTGACACAGATTTAGCTAAAGTTCTCCTCTGTCCCTGACACTGCCAAGAGTCCGACGGTGACTGCTCACACTTTCACCAGATTTTTGCTGCATCTGCTGCTCCTCAGTGGGTCTGCACAGGGGAAAAATAAATTTTGGAAAGAGCAGCTGGAGCAGCACCCACTGGCCTCACAGGCCCGGCGGGGTAAGGGCGAGGATTACAGAGCAGCCCCAAAACAAGCACCTTACACCTCAAAACAGCGGTAAAAACCTGTCCAAGCCAAGCTGAGCTTACAAGAGCCTTCACCCAGGCAAGCAGGGCAGGAAGGCAGGGACGGGCTGGGCGCTCAGAGCTCCGGTCTGACCCCGCTCCTGCTGCCCCAAAGCCGCCCCAGAGTCCGACCTCTCTCCTGCTCCTCCGGAGCTGCTCCCGGGTCTGACCCCGCTCCCGCTCCCCCGGAGCCGCTCCAGTGCATCCCGAGAGCTCGCACGGAGCCGAAGCCGGGCCCAGGGGCGGCCGCCCGGCCCAGCCCGTCCCCGCGGTTCCGCCCCGCACTTACGGTCGGCAGCGGCGCGGGGCCCGCCCGCTGAGGGGCCGGGGACGGCAGTGCCCGCGCCCCGCCGGCCCCACGCCCAGGCCGCGCCCCGCCGCCACATTGCCCATCCCCGCTGCCGCCCGGACCGCGCCGCACCAGCTCCGGCCCGCCCCGGCCCGGCCCTTCCGCCGCCGAGCCATCACTTCCTCCGCCCCGGCGCTCTGAGGCGGGGCTGCTTCAGCGCCGGCGATGGCCCCGGCATCACCTGCGGGATCGGCCCCGGGATCTCCCCGGCTCCCGCCGTCCCGGAGTCCCGGTCCCGCCGCGCGCCGCCCGGCCGCCACGGGGCCGGTGCAGGTGGACCGGGCCTTCCCCCGCTCGCCGCGGGGCGCGCTGAAGATCGCCCGCACGGTACGGCCGGGGGCGGGCCGGGGGCGGCCCGGGGCCCGCGGGCAAGGCCCGGGCCGGCGCTGACCCCGTCCCCTCCTGTCCCGCAGCTGGTGGCGCTGGCCGCCTTCATCTGCTTCGCGGCCTCGGGCGCGCACGGGGCCTACACGGCGCTGGCCGGCATGGAGACGGTGATCACCGTCCTGTTCCTGCTGCTCTACCTGCTGAGGCTCGACGCGCGGATGCGGTTCCTCTTCTGGCCGCTGGCTGTGAGTACCCGTGGGCTGTGAGTACTGATGGCTGTGAGTACCCGTGTCCCCGGCCGTGAGTATTGATGGACGCTGGGTACCAATGTCCCCTGGCCGTGAGTACCAATGTCTCATAGCTGTGGGTTCTACTGTCCCCTGGCTGTGGGTATGACTGTCCCCAGTGTCCTCTGGCTGTGGGTTCTGTGCCCTGGCTGAGGGTAGCAATGTCCCCTGGCTGTGTGTATGGCTGTCCCCTGGCTGTGTGTATGGCTGTCCCCAGTGTCCCCTGGCTGTGTGTATGGCTGTCCCCTGGCTGTGGGTATGGCTGTCCCCAGTGTCCCCCGGCTGTGTGTATGGCTGTCCCCCGGCTGTGTGTATGGCTGTCCCCTGGCTGTGGGTATGGCTGTCCCCAGTGTCCCCTGGCTGTGGGTATGGCTGTCCCATGTCCCCTGGCTGCTGTGGCCGCTGGTTGTGAGCACCAGCAGGCCTGTGACCTGGAGGGATCACCTGTCCCAAAGGAGGTGTTCAGCGGCCCAGTGATTGTTTCTGTACAGGTAAGACAAGCCCCAGTGTTCTGTGGAGGCTGAGGCAGGTTCTCCTAACAGAGTGTTCTGTTCCATCAGTTCCTGGGCAGCTGCTGGATCCGATAACAGCCCCTCCTGGCACAGGCACTGTTTGCCTCGTTGTGTAACACCTTCACATCACAAATTAGTCACACACTTTCACTCAAATACTAACAAGGTCTCCTCTTACCTCCCTTTTGTACGTGTATTTGCTGCCTCAGTCTCTCAGGTGTAGCCAAGTTGCAAAAATTTGATGCAAAAACAACAGAAGAAAGGTAAAACAAGGAACTTTTACTGTAAACACTTTTTGTGATCAAACCACTGGGTGTCAGTGTCCTCTCACACAGATATTGCTGTAACTCTGTCTCCACGGCAGTCCAGCTGCTTTGAACCATCCCTTCTGTGCTGGGAGCTCTCCACACTCTCCTTCAGGCCTGTATTTCAGAATAAATATTTTGCTTCCACTGGCTGTTTCAGGATATTTTCAACTCGGTGATTGCAGCGTTGTTCCTCCTCGTTGTGGCCTTGTTTGCAATAATAATCAAGACCAACAAGGGAACATTGGCTGGAGGAGTAAGTAGGAGCATTGTTAATGAATTTCAGTTCTTAGAGTGCAGTGATTTGAACCTCTTAGTACACTCACATTGTGGTAGGACCATGCAAACTGTCTTGGAAGAACACTCAGCAGTAGCAAACAAGTTACATCCAGTGTATCTCATTAAAAGAAAATAATCTTCACATCACTAGTAATCTAAAGATGTTACAAGACTTAGGAATTACGGCAGAGAAGTACTGAAACACTGAAAATTTTTAGTTTTTAAGTAACCTACAGTTGCTACCATAGTTTGAAATCCAAGGTGGGAGAATCCCTAGCTCTTTTAGGATTACCCAGTCTTGAGAAAAAATGCCAACTGTCCTAAAAAGAGTTGAAACTTTTTAACAGACACACTGGTACCTCCCTCCTGGCATGTACATTGTTTTTTTGACACAAACTGAGGAATTATGTCAGTTAAAAAGGGGTTTTGTTCATACTATGATTGTAAGAATTTTGTGTTCTTAAGATGAAATCAGTTTAATAGTTTAACTGGTATTTTTAATTCAAATGGCAATTAATTAACCTTAATAAACAATAAGGAGGGAAAGAAAACCCTTCAGTTTTGAAAGTCTCTAGAAGTACAAGATAAGCTGAAATGTGACAAGCAACCAAAAGAAACCTAAAAGCTGCCACAGAGCTCTTTCAAACTCAGCTTAGATGGTGAGGGGGAAAGCTGATGGCTTCACTGGCAATGGCATCCTAAGCAAAAAGGAGACTTTCTGAAAGAGTGACTGTGCTGGAATAGAATTTATATTCTCAGTTGTGGAGTTCACAGAAATTAAAGGTGGGAGCAGGAGACTGAGCAGGTAGCTGGGAACACAGGTTTAGGTAGAACATGTGACATCTTCAGTGCTGGAAGGGACAGAATCACCCCCAGCCTGTTCTCCTGAGGCACAAGGTGCCTTGAGCTGTGCCCTCCCAAGAGCTTTCCTGAAAATAACTCCCCTGATCAGATAATGCAGTGCTTGCATAAAAACCCCAGTGTGCATGTGGGATGGGGCTGAAGGGCAGGAGCTGAGTGAGTTAACTCAGTGGCTTTTCTGCAGACACATTTCTCCAGTTACCTTCCTGAGGTTGTCTATTTTTTAAATAATTTAGTACATTTTCTTCAATTTGGAATATGTTTCCCATTCAGAGCTCCAGAGAAGAAGAGCATTTTTCTGCTGGGCTTGTTTCTAGGAATACTGACTTTCCCTTGACTTTTCTCAGGGCCAGTCCCATTAATTAAACAGCCCTTAAAGAGACAGAAGGGCTTTCATTTAGGATAAAAGTATTGTCTGGCATAATGCAGCATTAGCTTAGCTTTGAAGGAGAGCACCACACTACCTCCAAGGCCTGACACAAACATCAAACAGAGCAGGCTGTAGACAGCTCTCTGAAAGCCTGATGGGATGTAAATGTGGGTGTTATTTAATTTATCAGCTTTCTCAAATCACACACATTTTCAAGGCCAGAAACAAGTATATGTTTACTGATGAGTCACTACAGTAAAAGTTCGAGACTGAGTGGGGGAACTAATTTTATGGTAATTTTTATAGGTGTTGGGTCTTATATTGCTTGTTCTCTGCATTGTCGACGTGGTTCTTCTTTGCAAGAAGATTAGCCTTGATAGAGGAAGAGGAAGGAGTGCTCCTGCCAAATAAGAATGACATGTTAGTGAAAGAATGAGTTCTCCATTCTGTTTTCCCACTCTCTTTTAAAGAGTTTGTGTTTTCATGTGCTCACTTTTGAATTTCCTGTGCACTGATGTTTCTGCAAGTATCATTCATAAGGTTTTGTACTTTTCCAAATGCAGTTTCAGCATTGCAATTTCAGCAGTTAAAGCTTCGGGAAAATTGTCGTGTTTTTCTAAACTTAATTATGTTTTTACCTATATGAAAATTATTTTCATGGTTGTCTTCTTTCTTTAATAAAAAGAAAATACAAACGGGCTTAAGTGCATTATTTAATCTTATTTATTTACTAAGTGTAAAAAAGTACATTAGAGTAAATGTACCTTTTAAAGTCAGGTAAAAATGTAATGACCCAGTAACCATCCTTTGGAAAGATTTTCTTCTGCCATGCAAATTTCATGTTAAAGCGTTCGCCGAGGCATTTGTATCCTGAAATTTCAGCCTTGAGCGGGGTTCGGGCTGGGTGGCCTCCAGCGGCCCCTTCCCTTCCATCCCGGCGGTTCTGTGTGTTCAGGGTGCCGGGACTCGAGGCCGCCTGGCTCTGCTCTCGGTCCCGCAGCCCAGCTCCATTGTCCCGGGGCTGGGGGCGGGCGCTGGGGCCGCCCCCCACAGCTGGGGATGCTGAAACTTTTTTTTCACGTTTCCGCAGTGTCACGATTTCCGCTTCCCTCCTTCAGAGAGAAAAAAAAAAAAATTAAAAAAAAAATTCCACGGCCAACCCCCTACCCCGAGCCTGAGCCCGCGCCCAGCCCGAGCCCGGCTCGAGCTCAGGCCGAGCCCAGCCCAGCCCGGCCCCAGCTGAGCCGAGCCCAGCCCCAGCCCGCGCCCATCCCGCCCGCCGCGGCCATGGAGGACCCCGAGTCCGCGGAGACCGCAGCACCGCCAGGGCTGAGCTCGCTGCTTCCCCCCCGGGAGTTCCTGCGCTCCCGCAAGGGGCAGCTGCTGCTCGCAGAGTCGGTAAGGACGGGACTCCGGGGCTGGGGGGCTGCGGGAGCCACCCCCGGGGCAGCCGGGACCCGAGCCGGCTCCGCCGGACCGACCTGTCCCGGGCCGCTCCCTGTGCGGCTGAGGGGAAAACTGGGGGAAAACAACCGAAGGCACACGGGGGCAACAAGTGAGGGGAAAAATGGGGAACAGCAAGCGAGGGGAGACGGGGGCAACAAGTGAGGGGAAAAATGGGGAACAGCAACTGAGGGGAGACGGGGGGCAACCACTGAGGGGAAAAATGGGGAACAGCAAGCGAGGGGAGACGGGGGCAACAAGTGAGGGGAAAAATGGGAACAGCAACTGAGGGGAGACGGGGGGCAACCACTGAGGGGGAAAATGGGGAATAGCAACTGAGGGGAGACGGGGGGCAACAACTGAGGGGAAAAATGGGGAATAGCAACTGAGGGGAGTCGGGGGCAACAAGTGAGGGGAAAAATGGGGAACAGCAACAGAGGGGAGACGGGGGCAAACAAGTGAGGGGAAAAAATGGGGAATAGCAACTGAGGGGAGACGGGGGGCAACAACTGAGGGGAAAATTGGGAGAAGACAAGCGAGGGGAGACGGGGGAAACAACTGAGGGGAAAACTGTGGAAAGCAGCCGAGGGGAGAGAGAGACAACAACCAAGGGGAAAATGGGGAAGCCCGAACCGGAATGGGGGAACTGCAGGGCTGTCTCAGAGCATAATGGATTTAGCGTAATTCAGGCAGAGCACGTTAGAGACAAGAACTTGTCACGTTAGACTTCCAGAGCATTAAGCGTGTTTCACTATCGAGGACCCCTTTTCGGTAAAAAAGCGCTTTGATTTCATTTTAAGCTATTTGTGGTGTAATCCAGTAACCACTGGGGCTGCGGTTTGTATTATCGGCTGGTGCCGGGTTAGGGGGCAGCCTGTCCTGAGTGTGTCAGGAAAGACTTTACTTGTGAATTTATGATGTGCGGCATCAGGCCGTGCATCGCGGTCACTCAGGCGCTGTCCCGAGCCCTCCGGAGCCGTGTTTGTCGCTGACCCTCAGAGGGATGCGCTTGGGCTGGAGAGCTGCCCAGAGGGACAGGCCCTGGGCTGCTGAGACAGCGGCTGGGCACCAGCCCAGGTGGGCACAGGGCCAGGGACACCTGGCCTGGATCAGCGGCAGTGTGGCAGCAGGACCCGGGCAGTGACTGTGGTGTGAGACTTTGTGGAATTTTACGGGTAAAGGCTTAAACCTGACAGCTGAAACAGTACCCATGTGATAGGGAAGGAGATCGCTCACCCCATGGGGAGTGGGTATTTCACACCAAAATTTAGCTACTGAAAGGAAGCTCGTTGATTGAAATTAGATGTTCAACATCATTTTTGCTAGAAATAATGATAAATTCAAACACTAAGTTTGCTGGAGTTTTGGCAGCAGATAGTCAAATATCAGGACAGCCCAAACTGGCAGTCAGGTCCATGGAGTGCTGTTCAGATGTGCAAGGTGTCTCTGGCTATCCACTGTTCTGGCTCAGGTAAGGAAACCAGGATATTCCAGCAAAAGAAAGACAAGGAACAGACAGAAGGAGTCAGGATTGTCTGTGATCAGCTGGTGGGGACCAGCTCTGAGGGCTTGTGAGGCTGCAGGCACTGCCCTGTGGCAGAGAGACAGGGCACAGCCAGATGTGAGGCTGGCTTTGAGAGGAAAAGCATTCACTCAGGAGGCCAGGATGACTTATGTGGTGGACAAAGCCTTGAACTGGTAGCAGCAGGCCGCGGGCTTTATCAGCTCCACCAAAAAAACACCAGCTACCCCATCCCTCCTCCAGCTACCCCATCACTCACACAACATCTGGAGTTTACAAAACCACACATTTAGAAGATACCAGAGCCCAGCTAACCTGGCTCCTTTGGCATGTATTTTTGTTACATACTTTTACACACACTGGAATTTCCTTTACAAGCTTACAGCCACTAAATGATGGCTTTCAGGCAGTCTGGCTTTTTAACATCTCAGAATGATGACATATTAGAGGAATACTGTTCTGGTCATGGGATCAGACTCACCCTTTTGTTGTCATAGAGAAGTACTGACGATGGCTCCTTGGAGTAATAAAAACTGCTGTGTCTTGACAAACCAGGGGTTTATCCTTTGTAAGGCCACTCAGGGCTTCCCAAGGGCTTGGCTGGCTGAAAGCAGCTCTGAAATCCCATCTGCAGAGAGCTTTCCTTGTGCTCCTTGCAGGCTAAGCCCACGTGCTCAGGACGTGGTTTCCTGGCAGACAAGAGGCAGCAGTAGTTTCTCTCCAGTTGTCTCAGCTTTGCCAGAAGAAGCCCTTGAAGACAGCACAGGCCCCAGAGTAAATACAGCCTGTTCACAATTAGAGAAATGCAGTGCCAAATAATTGAAGATGAGTCCAAGTTAAATCTATCATGGTTTAAATCTGTGTTTCATCTTTAGCTTTGTATTTCTCATCTTGAATGTTTAATTTTTCCTCTGACACAGTGCTAATGTAGGGTGGGGTTTGGTTCTGCATAAATGTATGGAAATAATATTCATGGATGCACTTTTTGAACAGTGCCTTTTGTTCAGAAGCAAAGTGGGGTGCTCATCACTGTTACAAATGTCACATTATTCAGCATCTTGGCAGTTCCTCAGAAATGCACTTTATTTCTGCAGCTCTTGAGCCGTTTTTGAAAATAACATTTCCACACAGAGGATCTTTTGGAAGTTCAGGTGTGATTTGCTCTGGTTCAGTACCCATGTAAACTGGGCATCTGGGTGCTTCCCCTAGAACAGGCCAGGCTGGGGATGGAGCTGATAATAGGTAGAGGCTTAATTATCTCCAATTTTATTCAGATAAGGAAGATATCCTCCCCCCCTCCCCTGTTCCTTTTGATCTCTACAGAATCACAGAATAGTTGGGGTTGTATGGGGCCTCTGGGGAACATCCAGTCCACCCCCCCACTAACCTGCCTGATTAATTTTTTATTCCACCTGGGACATCTGTAAAGACAAAGAAGCAGTAGCATCAAATACATTTATAAGCTTCACTATCTCTCCTAATCCTGTTTATTTTCACTGCCTTGCTCCCTCCATTTTCTAACCACCAATTTTAATCTTACAGGTTACTCTTTTTTCCTTTCTATTTTCCCCTTTTCCATGCCAGGTTTCTTCCACACATTTTAACACTCTTCTTAAGCTACTTATTTTTCCTAACCATTCAAGTTGCTGTGCTGAAGGTCAGCATCTCATCCTCACTCTTTTCCACCCTTCAAGAGATGAGTTTTCAGTTCCCTGTGTCCTGTGTTGGAACCATTTAACAGCCACTCTCACACTGGCATCAGAGCTTGTCTGGGCAGGATCCCAGTTGTGGATTCTGCTCCTCACCTGGCTGTTCCACTCAAGGCTTGTGGCTGCTTTAATTGGCATCTCCTCAGTCTCCTGAGGCCAGCATGCAGTGGCACTACATTTTCTTTTGTTTTTATAAAAATGCAGTGAGAATAGGTAAAGTTGTGCCACCTTTGTGGTGACATAAAAGGATGTAGAAATCATTGTGCCTGTTTCTCTCCTCTTCTCCTGTCTCTCTCCTGTCTTTTCAGTCTCCTCTGACCTGACCTTGGTAACTGAAACTCCAGATGCTCGGTGTAAACTCTCCTTGGAAGAGGCCCCTGTGGCTTTCTCAGGGACTGTGGCCAAAAGGCCTCTCCTCCTGTTCTGAAGGAAGCAGGAATTTCACCTCCTCAACAAGTGCAGCAGAGAAGTAGTAACTGAACAGCAGAGACCACTGAGTGATGCACTTTGTCTGTCTGACAAGAATACAAGAACAAAACGCACTCTTACCCAGAAGATGACACTGCTGCCACTCGTAAAGCCTTTGGCAAAGCTGTTCTTTCCTGGGGAGGGAGGTGGGAGCAGGAGATGAGGGGCAGGAGATGAGGGGCAGGAGATGAGGGGCAGGAGGTGGGAGCAGGAGATGAGGGGCAGGAGATGAGGAGCAGGAGATGAGGGGCAGGAGATGAGGGGCAGGAGATGAGGGGCAGGAGATGAGGAGCAGGAGATGAGGAGCAGGAGATGAGGGGCAGGAGATGAGGGGCAGGAGGTGGGAGCAGGAGATGAGGAGCAGGAGATGAGGGGCAGGAGATGAGGAGCAGGAGATGAGGGGCAGGAGATGAGGAGCAGGAGATGAGGGGCAGGAGATGAGGAGCAGGAGATGAGGGGCAGGAGATGAGGAGCAGGAGATGAGGGGCAGGAGGTGGGAGCAGGAGATGAGGAGCAGGAGATGGGAGCAGGAGATGAGGGGCAGGAGATGAGGAGCAGGAGATGAGGAGCAGGAGATGGGAGCAGGAGATGAGGGGCAGGAGATGGGAGCAGGAGATGGGAGCAGGAGATGAGGAGCAGGAGATGGGAGCAGGAGATTAGGAGCAGGAGATGAGGGGCAGGAGATGAGAGCAGGAGATGAGGGGCAGGAGATGGGAGCAGGAGATGAGGAGCAGGAGATGAGGGGCAGGAGGTGGGAGCAGGAGATGAGGAGCAGGAGATGAGGGGCAGGAGATGAGGGGCAGGAGGTGGGAGCAGGAGATGAGGAGCAGGAGATGAGGGGCGGGAGATGGGAGCAGGAGATGGGAGCAGGAGATGAGGGGCAGGAGATGGGAGCAGGAGATGGGAGCAGGAGATGAGGGGCAGGAGATGAGGAGCAGGAGGTGGGAGCAGGAGATGGGAGCAGGAGATGAGGGGCAGGAGATGAGGGGCAGGAGATGAGGGGCAGGAGATGAGGGGCAGGAGATGAGAGCAGGAGGTGGGAGCAGGAGATGAGGGGCAGGAGGTGGGAGCAGGAGATGAGGGGCAGGAGATGAGGGGCAGGAGGTGGGAGCAGGCGATGAGGGGCAGGAGATGAGGAGCAGGAGATGAGGGGCAGGAGATGGGAGCAGGAGATGAGGGGCAGGAGATGAGGGGCAGGAGATGAGGAGCAGGAGATGAGGGGCAGGAGATGAGGGGCAGGAGGTGGGAGCAGGAGA